ATGAGTCATCACTGAAACAGCGGAGTTCTGTTGTTCAGCGCGCGCTGACTGAATTCTGACTCGCGAATTCTTTCATCATAAACAACAAAGTGCAGATGTACGTGTGATGCAAGTATAAAAGATTAATTCATCATATAGTGTAGATTCACTGAGTTTAACGGGAGGGTTTTTAAAGTGCATAAACTCGCGCTAGACTGAGCTTGTAATGATGTTCTTTGGTAATGTAATGTTCTTTGCTCGTTTTCTGTAGCTGCTTTTTGAATAACTGAGGAAATGTAAGCATTATAATTAGTAACTTACGATGTTTCTATTAATTTGTTATCATGCTAAATACAAATTCAGTCATATTAAAAACATTAGGCTGCTTTTAGCCTTACGCTGGAGTTGATTCACTTTCTCGCAATGAAACGAGGTAAATAATTGCATAAATTAGCACGATAATATTGTGTATCGGCGATTTCACAGGCTGACGATAGGTCGATATGAAAATTGAGCATATCGCCCAACACTAGTGGTTATAGAGTATATAGTTTTGGTGTGATTTACTTCATTTCGTTTTTCTGATTGATGGATATTTCTTTGCAGAATCGTTAAACACGATGGTTGGAAAAATATGTTGAAATATTGTAGGCTGTTAGCTTGTATAGAAACATACAGTAAAATTGTCCATTAACAACCTCATAGCTTGTGTCTTTTAAAAGTTATCATCAGTATCGTCAATTCTCCTACATAGAAAATGAATAGGATTTTTTTTTTTTTTACTTCCAGAAACTGACTGCACTCTATTCCAATTATTTTTAAAGGTGATTCTCATTATATTATTACTGTAATACAGTAACATTACTGTATTAAATGGTACAAAAATAGGCTTTGTTTTCTTTCAAATATAATTTGCATGTGTTATAGGCCTATTTGTTTTATATTTGTTTGGGTCCCAGAAGCCTCCAGCTTTACCAGCCACACTCATCCACTGTCCATGAAAGTTACAACACTTCTCATGCATTCTCAAGGACATGCTTCAAAAAGTCCTCACATGTGATAAAGATTGGTTACAAAGGAGTGCAAATTCCTGCCGAGAGATTCACACTCTTGATCACATGCCGAAACCCTCACTGTCCGCATCAAGTTGTTTTGTTCAAGAATGCCCTGCTGATATTGAAGGAAGTTTATAGAACATCTTAGCCGAGTTTGTCAGCCTCAAAATGTCTGGTACGTCTACTATGTGACCCAACCTGTGTTTGTTTGGAAAAAAATCGTATCCTCTCCTTTCTTGGAATTTCTTAAATATGTGGTTTCTTTTTGACTAGATCAAGTTTGTGAAGTGTGAAGTTCCTGATGTCCTCAGGCTGTAGCCATTAGTTGATTGAGCTGGTATGGTAAATAAGGTGCAGCATGGACCCAGGAGCAGAATCTTCCTCTAAAGCTGTTGCTATCCTTTAAGTAGTGTTCTGACCATCTGCTCTGCTGCGAGGTCCCCAAATCCTCCGAGAGCTCAGCGAAGTGCACCTCTAATACTCTCCTTATGTGGCTCCTTATGCAATCTCCAGAGTGCACTGAGGTGGACATGAGTGTTTATGTGTGCATGTTCATTTGATTCTGTGTTGTGAGCCAGAAATCAGAAAGTATGATGTAGTCTTTTGATATATTTAGTGTGAATTTTTGTTAAATATTTGACACATTTGTTACTGTATTTTTATATAAGTATATTTAAATAAAATAATAATAATATAATATTCACTATATATGATGACATACTGCAAACACTATTATGAGAATGCAGTATGCACAACATACAGTATATATTTTCTGTATGCCATAGTGCAGTGCACCTTTCATTTGTGCTGTGCGCTAATGTTGAAATTCTGTGTAATACCATTAAGTTGATAAGTATTGTCATGTTATTATCCAATAAATAGTCACTATTAAAATTCTGTACTATAATTTCTAAACAAATTAAAATAAAATCACTACATTAAAATAAAGTAGATATCACAACATTATAATATGCAGCAGATAGATATTACTTTTGAGATTTAAAATAAATGATTAGTGTTAAATATGTATATTAATACTCTGTCAAATCTACCACATTTAAGAAACTTCCAAAAAAAGACTTAAAATTAGTTGACTTTAGCCATCCTTATTGCATTATATGCCAATAGTGACCAATAGTGAAAAAACCCCCACTTATTTTCTAAAGTTTGCATGCCTGTATCTCAATGTGATTCAGTTTCAGAGATATGAGGATCTCAATGTGGCCCATGAGTAAATTAAGTTGTAAAATTGTTAAATTGCACATTTTCAAATGTGGGTCACAGCTGATACTTATTCTTTTAAAGAGGAATGTCTGAAGAACAAACAAAGTTGAAACTAGAAATGGATCTTTTTCCCTCTATCAAAACAATTGCATACATACATGTCTGAGTAACAAAAATATGCTTTTTTCCAAAGTTTGTATGCCTGTAACTCAATAAATACTAAATATATCTAAAATATAATTTTAGATTCTAAATATGAAGTAACTTTTATTTTGGAATCCTCATTTTTACCGGTTTTAAAAGGAGCTGCTTTTAACAGCTTAATAAAATTAGATTAGAAATGTCAAGTGATAGGATTTATTTGCTGGATGATGACTGCACACTTCTTGGTAAGTTAAACCTGTAATGTATTGATGTTATGTGACAGCATTGTAGAGTATTATTGTTTGCGTTTTCATGCTTTTCACATGCGGTTAAAATGGAATGCAGTATGTGCTGCACAGTACACAAAAGCTATGCTAGTGTTCCTAAACATAGCCAGAGTATTGGAAACAAGCTACAGGATGATAGGATCTGTTAGTTTTGCCATAACACTCTCTGCTCTCCATTTCCTTAACAGCTATTTTTCCTCAAATGGTATCCAAACATTCTACTTGAACAAGTCTTGGACTGCAGTTAAGCCCTAAAACAATCCTGATGTTTAAAAGATGTCTAAATACAAGCCCATTGCTCATCCAACACAATTCAGTGTGCTGCAAATGTCCCTGAGTAGATTGTCTGTTATAGCAATAATGTTACTATAGAGGACTGAACAGAGACATAAGTGAGACCTGTCTCTGCACCTGAGAGCACTGGCTGGACTCCAGATATCAGTCTCAGTCGCACAAGAGGGGGGGCTCATTGGCTTCTGATGAGAGACGGGGACCAGTAGACAGGAGCCACATTGACCTCACAAGCACAAATAAATAAAGCCCTGCTCCTGAACGGGCTCCTGTATTGAAACACCGAAGGCTGTTAGTGTTTGAGTTGTTGTTTCAAAGATAGCCTGTGCCCTCAGCTGAAATAACACATCAGATTGAATGAAGACCGAAAGTAAAGACTCAAGAGTCTTGATTTGTTTAGCTTCAAACAAATACAGGTCTGCGGGTGTTATTTCAGTAAATTAGCTTGTTTGTTGGGCATTATAGCCAAGTCCGATGTTTTATGTTAAACATCGACATTTATGTAACTTTTATAGCAATTTAACGAAGCAATTACCATGTTTTTATTTTGCGTCAGTGTACACAGTGCTTCTGTAATGAATAGTAACCCTTGGAGACTATTCAGGCATTATTAAGTGGATGGTTGTGAATCAAGTTATTGTGTGTCTGTTAGAGAAGGTGGCAGCTGGTGATTTTGGCAGCCGGCTGAATTTCTGTGCTCTGTAGAGAGCAGATAGTGACCCAGTGTGTGTTGACACACAGATCTGCCCATTCGTGATGGTAACTCCTAAATCCGTCTGTTTTAATCACTTAAAAACTGTAGCTAATCATTTAAAACTATCTTTTAGTTTGTTAGTTTTGTAAAATTATGAGTGGGATTACTGACTTAATTAGTGTACTCTTGCTAAAAGAGAAAATGTCTATGGCTACAGAATATCCAGAAATCCAGACAGAAATGTATGTTTTGCAATGTCTGCAAATACATAGTGAGTTTGATTGATGATGAAAAAAAGACTGCATGCTAGTGATGCAAATTTGTTTTGTAATATTTGTTTCTCAATTTTTTTTCAAAATTGCTAATTCAAATATCCCTGAAACGCTGTTACATCTTGTTGAATGCACAGTGATGTCATGTTGTTGAGACCCACAAAATGATGTTATTTATTCATAGAATTTGACATTTTTGAAAGAACCAGTAACTGATTAATTAGAAAAATATGACTTAAAAGAATAAGAAAATTATGAATATCTGTAAAAAAAAAAAAAAAAAGGGTTAAACTGATTTTTGGTCTTTCTCAGATGCTAATCATGTGCAATACCGGTATGGTTACAGATATATCATGCATCCTTAGAAATTAAACTTGTTGCTTGTGTCAATTTATTTGTTATTGCATCAGTGATATATTTGCTTTTGATAGATACTTCTACATTTCCCATAAGCTTCATATTTTGTTGGTGCCAAGGGCGTCTACAGTCTACAGGGGTTGGTCAATGAAACTGAAACAACTTATTTTAGACCACAGTAATTTATTACTATGGTGTAGAGCATTCTTTTGCTGCCAGGAGAGCATCAATTTGTCTTAGGAATGACAGATACAAATCCTGGGCCCAGTTGCATAAACTTAGCCTCTATGTTAAGACAGTGTCTTAAGTACTAGTCTGACCAACTAGCAGTTAACCAAAGGGTAATCAGTCTTATTTTTTGGATTCAACTTAGACTAATCTACATTTTTATTTAAGTAAATAAAAAAAAAATATGACCTGCCTTAAAGAAAAAATTAGCTGACTAACTTTTAAGACTAGTCTAAACCTTTTATGCAACCGGCCCCTGGGCTCATTTTGTCATAACCGGTGGTTCAGCGAACAATTGAGTAATTAGAGCCGATTCAGTGAGGATGTGAGTTGTCGTACCAATTTAGTCCATGATTCAGACCATTTACTCTTTTCAGACTGATTTGTCAGTTAGTTTGACAGATTCATTACAGTCTTTCTCTCATCACATACAGTACAATTCTATTTATTTTATCTATTTATCTATATATTTATTTTTTCATTCTTTTTTCATTTTTATTATTTTTTTGTTGTTGTTGTGATATGCTTTGTATTGATTTAGATAATTGATTTAGAGCAGCAGTGCAGTGCTGCTCCTGAATAGCACTTCAGGAAACACTGATTCATATGCACAAGAAGCCATGGTTAGTTCATCATATGTGAGATATTGAATATTTATTGTAGGGAGAAAGAGGTCCTTCAGGCCCTGCTATGGTTGGCCCACGTGGCATACCTGGGATCCCAGGAGAAAGAGGAGAACAGGTGACTCTATACACCTACTTGTCCCCTGCATTTTTTCTCCATACTGTACATCTGTCATCACTAAATGTGTCTCTTTGTGTTTTTGTATCGGTGAGATTGGCTCTGATGGACCTAAAGGAGACAGAGGAGAACCAGGCATGACGGTCAGAACAAATAGACGTTTATGATTCATGATTTATTGTAATGTCATCATGCATATTTTATTCTGCTACTCGAGTCTCGTTGAATCCTCAAGATAAGTAACAATGACACAAAGACTGCTTGCATCTCTCTTTGCTCTTAAAGGAGGATGAGATTCGGTCTTATGTTCGAAGTGAGATGAACCTGCATTGTGGTGAGTGGATAATCGTCATTTATCTCCATCTGCAACAATTTTCCATCATCATCAATGATTAAAGTTCGTAAATCAAAACAAATCCTCTACAGCAACTTTCATTTTTGGAGCTATAAGCTGCACTGCAAGAAAAATAATATTAACCAATTGCCATTATTTTGGCATTGTTTTAAACTTGATTTATGGTCTGGCTTCAATGTCATACGGAACAGTCACGATAAATGAAATATGGGATGAAATCAACCTCTGCCTACTTTTTTTTCCATTTTATATATATTTTTTTCACTTGGGAATACATTTTCAGAAGTATGCTGATTGATGTTGATTTTAATTTCTCTTGTATCAATTAAATTGTCTCTCTTTCTCTCTTTTTCCCTAAGCTTGTGGAGGTAAGTTGTGACTTATATAGCCAGTAGACATTTTCCTATCATTGCATCAGCAACTCATGTGCGCACAATACACTAACAGTAGGCTTGTGTGATCTCAGTCTGTATAAACCTTGTTGTTGAGTATGTTCGTGAGAATTTCTGGGTTTTGTGCATGCTAAATTGTTGATGTAGTGCATGAACTTTGGGTACATCTTTACACGCATGGATGCTTGTGTGAGTATGTTCACTGATGGGTTTTACTATCTTACGTTTGTGTGATTCGTTATGGGCGTGTTCTCAGGTGTTCAGGAAGTTGAGAAACCTGTACAAGTGCAGGCTTACCGAAGATCCTCCACGTCCCCAGAGCGCTCACTAATCCGAGGGGACGAGGAGGGTGAGTCCTATCCTCAGCTCATCCTTTATTCTCTGTTTATCCTCCTCTCTTCTAAACTGAAAACTCTTGTCACTCTGTCCTCTATTTATTTATTTTTTTTGAAAGGGCTAGTTTAAAGAAACAGTTCACCCAAAAATAAAAATTCTGTCATACTTTTACTCATACGTGGAACACAAAAGAAGATGTTTTGAAGAATGTTCACACTGATTTTTTCCATACCACAAAAGCCCATATGACTCATGTGCCAAGTGCAACTAACCTATCTATCTCTTGCCGTTGTGAAAATGAAAAGTGTGCTTAATTGTATTGAATGTGCACTTGTAGCATACATATAGCATTCATAGCATATTTTTTGTTGTGCTTTAAAGAATTACACTTTTTGATGTGTTGGCTTACATACAAAAGCACATATAAATTTTTACTGTAGTTTGTTATTCAGTATTGCATTCATGTTTTAAATGTACTAAATTGCATCTTCACCATTGCAAATGTGTAATTACCAATATATTTAAATACATGACATAAAAGAGTTTTAATAGAAATGACATTAAATGGCTTTCACAGGCAATTAGGTATCAAAGAACATTGCACTTAATTCAGACTTAAGCATATTGTTTTTAAGTATATTATTTCTGTAATAAGTACTCTTTTTTTTTTTTTTTTAAGTATGCTAAAGTGTACTTCTTTTTCACAATGGTAGTCACTCTGCGTTGTTAAAAAAAGCAGTGTCAACATTTACAAAACATCTCATTATCATGTTCTATGGAAGGAAGTAAACCATACAGGTTTGAGACAAGGATGAGTAAATGATGACAGAATTAAAATTTTTCTCTTTAAACTACCCTTTTAAACAGAAACAATGTTTCTGCCTTAAACATAAGTGGGATATGTTAAATACATGCTTGTATTTAACATTATCCAGTTGCACATGTACATCGATTGCTTTCAAACTACGATATCCCAGCATTCTAAGCTGATTTCCAATAGCCTTCACATTCTTTGTTTGTGCATCCATGCACGTTTTTTTGCAGGTCATAAACTGCGTGTTGTGATGAACACAAGCGATCCAGACTACGAGCACATTTACTCTATAGAGACCTATGATGATGATGCTCCAGTGGTGGAGATTGCTGACTATGACACCACGGTCAATAAAAGCCAGGGTATGCCAATTTTTTTCCTGTAGAAAAAGTTTGTCTGTAGCTTTCTGCGTAGACATAGTATAATATATGGATATTTTGGCAGGTCAAACCGTCTCTTTTGATTCATTAAAAGCTGAAAGGACAAAATTTGAGGTGAAAGGTAAAGGTAAGCCACCACTTCTTATTCATTATGGAGATTAAAGGCTCCATTCAGTCATCTTTACGCAGTATGTTGGGGAGCCTGACTATACCATTACTGTGGAAATAACAGTGTCGATGGTGCTTATTTTATTCTCCACATTTTACTGCTTTTCCATGTCTTTGTTGGGAATAAAGTGCTTAGAAATGCTGTCTGTAGGAATGTATTAAACTTTTGTTGATGTCCCCGTCTTCAAACCCCTAACAAAACTCTATGATGATGGATTATCATAATTTTGCACTCTGTAATTGCTGCAAACTATTGTTCTTTGCTGTGCTCACTTCCTGTTGTTTCTCTGTGTATCATCTGCATGCTGTCAACCCGCTGACTCATCTGTATGACAGCTCTTAGTATGAGATTGCAAGCAGCTGTCCTGCCACAGAAAATAGCTGGACATTTCTACAGATCTCCGTGGTGCTCTGAACTTTAGAGAGATGCCATAATGACAAGTTTAAAAGTTGAATATGCATTTGTGCATTTCAGAGATGACTTTCGCCATATTGTTCAGTTTGCATTAATTCAGGATAGAACTTTTGTAGTGTTTGCTGTGGAGCAAAATAAGAATTGGTGTGTATCCTTTACCATTCAACCATTTTATTATTTTTTAATGTGTGCTTTTAGACTCCTGCATCTTGCCCATGGAAGAGGGTAATTGTTCCCGCTATACTCTGCGCTGGTACTTTAACTCTGAAGTGGGCGTCTGTAGACCTTTTATCTACAGCGGCTGTGGAGGAAATGCTAACCGCTTTTTACAGAAGGAAGATTGTGAGAAACTCTGTCTACAACAATAAGAAGGTACATTAACACGCACTGATTAATAGAAAAGGCTGAAGGTAACAAATGGTGCAATAATGC